CGGTTCATCGTCGTTGCCGCCATCGTCGTCGTCGTCGTCGTCGTCGTCGTCGTCGTCGTCGTCGTCGTCGTGGCTCGTGCTATAACATGGGCTGACGTGTGTCGATATAGAGGCGTTCGCGTGTTTCGGTCCAGCGGCAAGGCACAGCGCCGGGTATCCCCCCGGGACCATAACTCGATATCTCCCGGAAAATCCCTCTATCGCGTGCTTTACAACCCATACAACACCCGAATTGAATGTTAGCCCAAGACGAACGACCATCTTGTAAATATCACGTTGGTCGCTCGTTCGTCTTTTAACCCTTTGACTGCCTGGATGATATATACAGCACCTAGAATTCCGGGAGCTATGCGATAGAAACGAAAAATTTCGAGTAAATAAATCTGCACCCCTTTAAATTACGATGCCTTCTATCGGTTAATATAGAAGGAGAGGAATAAATTTGGACTTGGTATACGTACACTACAGTCAAGGAATTAACTCTCCAGCCGCAGAATCGCTTATTCCGTGGCAATTCCACCACCGTATTTTAATCTCTTACTCGAGATTAAAATTTCAATCTTGGCCCTTCATTTTTCACAGTTACGATGTGTATGCCAGGAAAAGTTCGGCAGTCTTACTCATACCTTAAATTCCACGCGCGAGATACGCGATATTTTTCCATTAGTCTAAACTAGTATTTCGAGTCATATATTTGCCAAATAAACATAGTTCCGTTATCGTAAATAACCACGAAACGTAACTGCATACATATTGAACGCGTTGAATTGATAATATTGCGATAATATGATCAGTCGATGGCGATTGTCTACGATGAATACACTAACTTAGCAGGTACTTTTGCAGAACGATCGAGTCACAGGACATCCGTAAAGTATGATTCACGTACGATTTCTTATCCGCGAGATCAGCCGCTCGAGTTTGTTATCGAGGGTGCAATGTCGCGCAAAGTCGGTCGTGGCTTATCCAAGCGAACATAACGAAACAAAAGTGAACAACGATGTGAACATCGAATTGCAAAACGCGCGTCCAGTCGAAGAGATTCCCGGTCCGAAAGCGTTACCTTTGCTTGGCAATTGGTTCAGATTTCTGCCATACATAGGTGAGAGTTTTTTCAATACGTATTCAAAATATGGAGATTTTTAGCGGATTATTCGATGTCAAATATAAAACATGACGTTTAAACCAGATTCGAAATCTAAATTTATGATAACAGCGACATAATATATAAGAAATTTATTTAATAAAATATCGAGCATTTTCAAACATTATTTTATTATTTATTAAATAAATGGATCGTTTAACACCAGAAACGACGAGCGAGATTTCTAATCTCGTTTATTTTTTAAATTAATATCTCTTTTCTTATATTAAAAATACGATTTTGAAATTTTCTAATTTTTCATCAATTTTTTATTTTGATAAAGTTAAACTTAAAAAATTGTAAAATCTTTGATATCAGAAAAAAGTATTAATTAAAAAAAAATAGATAAGAAAAACAGATAATCAAAAATGTCCACTTGGTACTTCTAGTGTTAAAAAATGTGATGTACTTCCTAAATCGCGATTAAGAGCGGGGGAGGAGTAGGTAAATGATCGAGAATTGAAAAGTCTGACTTGAAATGTTGAAAATATCAGTCTACAAAACTGTAATTTTTAATTTGAAAAAATTTCTAATTTTTTTTTTAATTTAACCCTCTTAAAAAGCGATTACTGATTGGCGTAAACAATGCAGGTGAATACGGCAGAGTATCTGTTAAAACTCATTTGCGGATGATGCGTGATAAATATGGCGATATTGTCAAATTGGACAAACTAGCAATTGGCCGGACGATGATCTTCCTATTCACACCGGAGTTGTGTGAAAAATTGTATCGGTTAGATGGCCAGCGGCCGTTGCGGATTGCCATGCACAGTTTACTTTACTATCGTCAGAACAGAGAACACATCTGGGATGGAGAATACGGTCTCGCAATAAGGTCAGTAAAGCACTTTGGAAGAAACAGAATCATCAAGAAAATTATTTCTATTTTGAAAGACACACGATTGACATGTCTCGATCCTCATGATCCTCAGAGATATGATAATGAAAAGATTTCGTAAAAAGATTTTTAGAATCTTAAAAGAAGACCATAAAATTCTGAAGTAATTATTTGAAGAAAGAAGATTGTCAAGTTTTATAGCTGGATAGGTACTTGTGAATGATAGTACGTACATATAAAGAACGTCCCAGTTTCGTTGTACGTCCCTTTATCCTTAGATTTATTATTAAGATATTAAAAAAATCTGCAAATGAAAAAAGAGCAGGGAGTACGATTTCATTAAACGACCTTTTCAAAGCTTTAGGAATCGCAATATTCTCTTGCTTATCTCAGATGGCATTCAGCGATCTGTGTGATCTGCACTAATGTTACGGCTAGTTTTGGAATAGCATTACGTCCTGTTAAATTGTTAGATTAATAACGAAGCTATTACGGCTTTCGAGCTTTCAGCGTGGATAAATACGAGCGTTCTCGACGTAGTACGTCAGATATATGGTCAAGCGCGAAGGTCGTCGATATCTCGAAAATTTGTCAGAATACGGGAACACGAGCTGACGAAGCAACTCCCGTCCCATCGCTATCCTAACTCTCTCTCTCACTCTCTCTCTCTCTCTCTCTCTCTCTCTCTCTCTCTCTCTCTCTCTCTCTCTCTCTCTCTCTCTCTCTCTCTCTCTCTCTCTCTCTCTCTCTCTCTCTCTCTCGTTGGTCTCTCCTGTGTCCTGTACGGTCGATAGTCCAGCGAGTGTACCGAGAGCCACGGAGGCCAAACACAGAGGCCTATGTAAATTGCGTACGATGTAACATCTCGTTTCTCCGCGCTGAAAAGGGCGCTCTCCTGCTTTCAGCCAGGGCAAAATGTGGCACGACTTTCGCTCGAAAGTCAATCCGCATATGATGCAACCGCGAACGGTCAAGGTGCACGTACCGCAGATCAACGAGGTGGCCGTGGACTTCGTGAAGAGGATGCGAACGCTACGGGATCCCGAGACCCTGGAATTGCCGAGCGACTTCAAGAACGAACTGCTAAAGTGGGCCTTAGAAGGTGAGTAAGCGACGCGAGTGAACACACCGCGACGCCGAGAGATATTTACGCCGCTGACGTTTTGCGCTCCTCCCTTCGAAAATGGAGCACCTAGAATGATGTAAGTTGTGACGTGGCGCCCCGAAGCTGCCCGTAGTTTTTTGTACGACTCTCGTTTGTATGATTGCCGCGCATAGAATTTGTCGTTGTAGAGTGAGATACCGCTGTGTCGTTCGCGGGATGTATAAAATCACGTGTTGCGAATTAAATCTGCGTTTTGTGTGAGCTAGAACCACCCTCGGCGGAAACGTAGTTCAGAGTACACGCCGTATTCCCGAGTACTGTATCGCATTGCTGCCTTACTCATTTAACGTGAAGATTTCTGTAACTTTTGTGGTTGCGCGATTCAAGACTCCTCGACATCACGTATTACATCACGAAAAAGCGATCGAGATAAGCGTATATAGAGATTCGAGTCGAAATTAAAGATAGATTCTTAATGTTATTCTAATTAATTCTTGTCGCATTATTTTGATTCCTTCTCTCTCGCGCCTCGTCCCGCGAGCTCCCCCCTCTACCATCTCAAATCGGGTTGCCGGATCGTCGTATAGCGTATGCGAATTCAAACTTTATTGTAAGCGGACAAACCTGAGATTTTCTTTGTGGTATAATAGAGTGACACGCGATCGTGCCTGGCGCCCAACAATTAGTAATTTTCGTATGAGAGACCGTCCTCAGGGGCGGCGGTCACAATGTATGTAAGTCTCGCTTGTAACAATGGAGCTGATAAATTAGCTCGCACTCCAAATTCAATGCACCGCGGCAGTGTACATTCGAGTGGATCGGATAATACATTTATCAACGATGGTGACGGGAGATAAAGGTGTTGGGGAAAAGTTAAAAATACGCCGCTTCACATTCCGGATATCAAGGCGTCCTGATGCGCGGCCACTTGCGATGATCACTTATCGTTATGTAATTAACAGGAATATGCTCGATCGCGATGGATTGCCGACTAGGGTGCTTGGAGCCTAATCTCGCCCCGGATTCGGAACCGCAAATAATGATTAATTGCGTGCAAGAGATGTTCGAGCTCATGTACCGCATAGAGATTCTGACGTCTCTGTGGAAGGTATACAATACGCCGAATCTCAAGAAGTTCTTCCGTGTGATGGATACGCTTAATGGGTAAATATTGAAACTTATACTCGTTACATTACTACTACGTCAGCGTATTACTCACGTATTACTCCCACGCGAATATACGCGAACTTGTTACCTCACATCGTCATTATCGTAATCCTCGATATGTTTCCTCGACATTCTCGTGTCGCGGACTTAGTTATTAATAACGTATCGCGTATCGTTTCACGCTAATTACTTTTTGCAGAATAAAACTTAATGCTTTACATCCACAGTTTTATTGTTTATCACCCCACGTGTAGCTCGCGCCTAATTCATCTCACACGTTAACAACCCTCAAAAAGACTCGTCGTCGCCATTGTAGTCGGCTTATCCTCTTTGTATTCGCACTTGCGATCTCTTTTAGAATTGCGAAGAAACACATCGAGCGGGCCAAGGCGAAGTTTGATGCAAGGGATAACAACACAAATCAGTATGATCGTAGTATATTAGAGAAACTCTTGCGTATCGATAAGCATACGGCATACGTAATGGCGCTCGATATGCTAACGGCTGGTGTTGATACGGTAAGCGTGGGATTCTAACTCTGACGTTCTTCGAAGCGATTTTAATATGGCTCGAGCTCCTACGACGAGAAACCATCTCCTTTTCAGTAAAGTAAATGATAAAACAATAAACGGAATAAACGGATTCTGATTAAAATACACAAATATTTTTCACAATAAGAATTTCCAATAGGCGAAAGGGGAAGGATTAATCGATTTCAAATCTAATTATCGACTTATTTTCTAGCTTTGAGCTGCTGCGTCGTAAATCCGTTAAAAATAATGTCACGCGATATAAGCAATTAATTTCATATTTATATATATAAATTCAATAAAAGAAAAAATTATCAGACTCCTAAGATCGAGTTCGTCGAGAATTGCTTTTTTCGTTCTCTAGTTTTTAGCATTTTCTATTTACACCTTCGCTGCTCAACCGCTAGATTTTTATCTGAAAATATTTCGAACAGGAATAGAAATTTTATTGAATATACCGAGATTCTAAAAGTGAGACCATGTAAAATTAAGCATTAAGCGACCTACAATTACAGACTGGTAATACCGCCGGTAGTATGTTGTATTACATCGCGAATAATCCAGAGAAGCAGGAAAAACTGCGTGAAGAAGTAATGTCCCTGTTGCCGGACAAAACATCGCCTGTCACGCAAGAAGTCTTGGATCAGACGAAATATGCTAAAGCCTGCATTAAGGAATCTCTTCGATTGTTTCCCATCTCTATAGGAACTCTTAGAACTATGCAAACAGAGGTTTGCTTGGGAGGATACAAAATACCGGCAGGGGTATGTGTCATTTTTTTTACTTCATTTTACTTTTTATTTAAAGTTTAAAGATAAAAATTCTTGATTGATTCATTTGGCATTTAAGGTTTATTTATTTTATCGATATATTTAAACAATTTTTAATAAATAATACTTTACGAGAATAAATTTAGAAAGTTAATATAAATAATATTACGAGCAAGTATGGAATATATTCGATAAACTCCGTGTATGAATTCTTCAAGAAATTTAAAGTCAATTTTCCTTTAGCAAAGGTTTGAGCAAACATAATCTTTCTTTAATTTTTTTTCATAAATTATTAATACATAGCTTTAAAAGATTTAATCATAAGCCTTTAATTAAAATTTTATTAGGGATCTTTTTGAAATAAATGAGGAATAAAATTTCATTACTTATTCATTATTTATTTAAAGTTTGCTCGAAGCTTAATCCGTAAAAAATGGCTTCCATTTGCTCATTTATGATTTAAAGATGTCGATATATATTTCAGCATTACCGTTAAAACAAAAATTCATTCTGAATTATATAAAGAGCTCAGGGCTGGGGGTTTATTACGAG